GATAAATTGTCCTTGCGTTGGATCCAGAAGGTCATCGGTCAGTGATTGCTCAAGTGCTACAGTATGGAAGCAAAACATGGGCCCAAACGTGTCAAGAATGACAAGGATTATGCGATATGCTGGCCTTGTGCACTGGTCAATTGCTACATATTAAGCGAAATCCCTCAGGTGTCAAATATATCAATGATTCAACGGTTGCCATATCTAAAAAGGCACTAACGTTTTAGATGTACGCGTACATCATTAATGACATAAGGCTACCTGTAATAGCTGGCTAATGACTCGTTTAACAAGGTTTGGCTATACCATGTCGGATGCGTTCCACTTTAATGTATACTTGACTACTTAATGGACAAGGAGTACATGCTCTACTGCCAATGTGAATTTAAGGGGAACTTACTGTGATCGATTTTATGGTTGCTAATATGTTTGTCAAAATGCTGCGGTCGTTTCGAGTTCAATTCTGATGGGAGAACTGTAGACAAGATTGCTGAGTAAGTACGTAGGAGTTGTAAATCAGAAATTTCAGCAGTTTGCTCGCATCTTACACAAGACAAAGAAAGAAAGAAAACGACTAGTAGAACTGGTTAAGAAAAGCCGAAATGGCAACAGTAATTGAGGGAGTTGCATAAGGAAAAGACAACAATGGGTACAAATTAAAAAAGTCTCTTTTGCTATGAAACTTTTCGAGAAGCTTAGTACATGTCACTATTAGTAGTGTGGCTAGACGACTGGCTTCTGTACTGCAGAATTAAATACCTGCCATTCAAATTGCTGACTATCTGAAATCACCATTTTCTTCCGGGAAGTAGCCAACCTCATACTTCATACTTCAAACTCAAACTATCATATATGATCTGCCAAAAGTTCTGAATATGACGCTAAATTTGAATGGAAAGGAAAATCAATAAACAATATGCAAATGGTCAAATCCTGATTTAACAAAATTTAAATCTCGCTGTGAATCTCTAGGAAAGTCTGTGAAATCAATAGATGGCCCGACGTCAGCTTAGCATTCAAGAGCATGAGCAGCTACAAGTGAAATGGCAATTGCTATACCGGTCACTTCATACGATTCAATTTAAATCTAGTGCCGCACAATCCAGATGCATTAACCGCCTTAACCAGTAGCCCTGATGCGAGCAAAATCTGGTTTAGGCTCTGAGAGTTCAAAAATTTACGCTCCATACTAATTCCTAACATAAGTTAGAGTTTAATTCAACATCCAGCAAATGGCCGCTTATTTTCGATAGAGGTAAGTCAACATATGCACTAAACTAAGCAAGGTTAATAACTGAGAATGTCTTTACTATGACTCAATAAAAGCCCTGTCATTTCATTGTCAGGAAAGACTTGACCTCATGTTTGACTAAAAAGACAAAAACAACAAACCTCATTTCGAACGGAAATGAGTAGTTGATGGATGACTGAATATCTAGTAGCTAATTAACATTAGCTCGGCTAATGATTTCGAATGCCAGTGAGTGTGAGTTGCACTTTTGTTGTCATCTGTGTGCATGCCGAACGTCAGTGAACAACCACTGGTTTTTTGAGCGGTAACAGAGCTAATGCTTTCGGTTGAGCTTGCGTATCGAGGCTAATGATTTTCGTTCAATAGACAATAATTTATCACAAAACAAAGCAGTGCAAAAAAAGCCCTTCGCTCAGTAATCATCCTAAGAGCCTTTTTCGCACCTCAGTAAGGAGCGCTTGAAAATAATGAAAACCTTTAATCACAGCCCTATATGACCAGTACTTTTGAACGACAGTTAAATACAGTTTCGGTCAAAACTCATTAGTTAACGCAGTTTCAGGGTTCACTTTTGATAAGTGCTTCTGATAAGGTTTTTGATCATTTGGAATGCATGGCAATTTCAATCTCCGTCAATTTACTGCTGCATCTGTGAGCCCCAACATTCAAGTTTTCACACTAGTTAAAAACAGACCTGAGGTTGCAGAGGTGAAACACATGTTCAACTGATGTGGTGCTTGCACTTCTCTGAAAAAACAACGATGCGGATCAAAGTCCGCGGTATGGCAAGATATTCTAATCGAAACCAAAGACCTGCAAAAGTCTAGAATCTCAACCTTATGCTCTAAAATGACCTATTGAATAACGAAGCATTTTTGTTGGCATCAGTAGTGAACATGGATTCAGCATATTTCAATTCTTGCAGCTCTTATACGAAGGATGCTAATACGCTAAAGTGATTGCAACAAACAGCAAAATAGGAACCATCACAAAAGATGCGATCAAAGTGGAATGGTATCCGTTCAGCAGTTGTAGAAATAAATAATTGAACTATCCCTCCGAATCCAAAAAACATGGAATCGCGAAAAGAAACATGGAAAGCCCATAGCGAAGGCTTTTGTTTCAAGATTAGCAGACAAAAAAGTTTCGTTTCCTCATTATATAAAATCGTTGTTCATAAATCACGATCACAATCTTATATACCAAAGCAACATAGATTCTCTAGGAGACACTCGAAATTGCCAATCATACCATGGTTCTTGCCGCCAATATAGAATAAATATTCACTGCTGTACTAGAAAATCGACACCGTTCATTTTCACAAGCGAAACCAAAAATGATATATAGGGATCCAATAATGCTCAGTCAATAGAGCGTGAAACCCAGGTCGATAAGCCGCTGGTTCGAACCCTACTCGAGTTACTCTCCTTCCTTCATTTCCCCTGAAGTAAACAAATTAGAACACTTTCACAGAAAAAAGAAAGGAACCTGTATACTATAAGCATGTATAAAGAGTCTCAAGAAACAGCAAGGGTCTAGTGTCTCATGGCACCGCAAGGAAGACTTCTGCGGCAATATCCATTTCATGAAGAAGCAGGACCGACAAAGAGCGCCCATCTCCATGGAGCTGTAAGGGAGACTGGCATAGCAACAACTACCAGCCTTTTCTTTACTTTTTCCTACTGGGTATTTTATGCATACAATGTTTATTGACTGATTGTCGTAAACGATACGAGATATTGAAACTATGACTATGGCATGAACGGGAAAATCCTACATAAACTTACTTACACGTGTGGGTCATATGATATTGCTAGAGGTTAGCTTCGAAGGTTTGACACTATTGTTTGTAACTCTGAAACGAAGGTGTTCTAAATTGAGATTCTGCATAAATTTCTAGAAGAAAACGTACAAGGAATCCATAGAAACCAGATCAATAATTGTTTCATCTCTGACATCAGTGCGTCGCAAAGATGCTGAGCAACTGAGTATCATTTTGTGTTAAAAGTTCTGAAGTTATCGGAATATGTATAGCGTGGGAGTACATCGGCTGCCGATGAATAAGTGAAAAATAAAGTTGAGAGGCATCGTGAGTTTGGATGAGCAACTGGCTAATTAACGAGTTAGCCTAACTATGGATGGGCAAATGTGATGGCCAAGGCACGCAATTGCGCCTTTCATTCTAAATATTTTGCGGTATTGTCTGGAGATGGCAGCGCTTAGCAAAGCTGATGAAGGAATTCTGGAAACGAGGGAATATCAATTTTAAGATCAATATTTGGAATGAAGTGATGTGATCAAGTCTCGAACGTTGATGTAAATAAGAAAATAGGATATGGTATCAAAGTTACCCATTGGTTGATGAAAAAACGCATGAAATGATAGGGTCAGCATCAGCTAATAAATAATAGTTGCTTTTTGAGGTAAATACTCGGAGCAAAGTTTGATTGCAAGCGAACGCCAGGAAGGCCTGCAATACAAGGGGAAAATTCTGCAAGAATCGTTGCACTGTTAATACGCAGCTGTTCGATCCAGGTGGAAAGCCTATGCGAATTCTGGTGCCATTTCTGATTCAACTTGATGCAAACAGTATGGTATCGGGTTTGAAAGAAGGAAGAAAGCACGCAGAACCAATCAGAATCCGTAACTCTTTTGAG